CGGATATACGTCGAATCCAATCCGGACCTTTTGTGGACCTCAAACATTTTCTTTAACGGGGCACTATCATATGCTTTCTCAAGGTCTATAAATACCAAATGGGTCTCTCTACTTCTTTAGACACGCTTTTCAATTATTTGTCGTAGGATAAATATATTATCAAGGCAGGATCTCCCAGTACGAAAGCCGCTTTGTTCTTCAATATCTGGTATCTGTCTTTCAACCCTCTTCTTTAATATTCTGCCGTACAACCGGCCCATTGAGCTCGTCACACTAATACCTCTATAATTGGAACAGTCTCTTTTATTCCCTCTCATATATGGAGCTTATATAAGATTTATTCCAATCTTTAGGAATTTCCTGGTCTCCACACATGCATTTATTAAAAAGGTCTACTATTAATTCTAAAAGTGCAGTCGGCCCATATTTAACCAGCTCTATGGGAATGTCTCCAGGCCCTGCGGCTTTTCCGTTTTTAACCTCTTTTAAGGTTTCCGTTAATTCAGATAATGTTATTATAGGGATTTCCTGTCTTTCGTCTCTGTTATCTATTAATTCCCTTATCTTTTCTCATCTGTACTCTACTCTATCCTCTTTCAGCAGTTTCGTATAATATTCTTCCCATTCATTTAACTTTATGAGAGAAATGTTGTCTTCATTTTTCTCATTTTTCCTAAACTGTTTTAATGTTTTCCAAGCTTGCGCCACTTTTGTTCCACCCATAAATCTGTCCAGTTCATCACACTTAACCTCCCAGTTTATATTTTTCGCCTTATCCACGTCTTTTTTAACTTCTCTATTCCATTTAGCGTATATTTCTCTGTCTTGAGGATCTTTGGATTGAAGCCATATACGATATGCTTGTTTTTTCTTGAGAACTTTCTCTTCTACTTCCGTTGACAACCATTCAAAGCTTCTTTCATAATTATCGCAATTTTTTTTTTGATGGTTCACTATAAAATAAAAATGATTATCACGACGCTTCAACTTTTAACTATAAAGTGATCGTAATCGTAGCCCTTTAAGAGTTAACTACAAAGACCGCAATTTTTGAAATACTCGAGTTTGCAGCTAAAAAGAATCATCTTCCTAATTTCTCAATAGAATTACCGTGGCCAGTCTTTGATTAAAGGCAGTTCTACAGAATATCTGTCTTTTACTTTTGCAAATGTCACTTCCACAAAAATTACGCTAATTTTATTCGTATTGCCAGAAGGGCTTTAGTCAGCATCTCATGATTATAGGAACAGGCTAAATTTAATTACAACTTTGAGGCTTTGAAATAAGTCAATAATTGATTGGCCGCGGGCGGAAGTTTTGGAGTATTTTAATTAACTCAGTGAGGGGAGATAATACAGATATAACATAGCTCGGTGAAAATGTTGCTTATTTTATAATGAAGATGTAAGTTTAGCAAAATTAAAATAAAATGATTTTTTCGCCAATGGCGTGCGTACAAAAAGCTTCGATAAAAAATATTTTGCCTATAATATACAGTATATTCAACCAACTTACACCTCTAAACAATTAACGGAATTTGCAGAAAATCTTTCGTTGAATAAAAGGCAGGAAAACTGCACTGGAGTTCTCCATAACACTTTGCCAAATTTCAAAAGTCGCTATCGAACTTTTGACTAATACGGCAGTTGTTAATGCGCATTTGCTTTTACAAATACACTATCAAAAATTATTGAAAGACTTATAACAGTTCGACTTATATGCCCTTTTTCCTTAAATATAATATTTTATCGCATAATCAGTTCGGCTTTTTGTCTACTAATTGCACTAGCGATGCCATATTTTCTGTGTTACATGATGTATATCTATCACTAAACAGTAACCTCTCCTCCGCCACCGTTTTCTGCGACTATTCCAAAGCCTTTGACTACGTAAATCACGACATTCTATTAAAAAAATTAACTTTCTATGGAATTCAAGGTGTGTCTTTGAACTGGTTCAAAACTTACTTGGTAGGTAGGAAACAATTGGTTAGAATAAATGACACCGACTCTAGTTGTAAAGATATTGAGTGTGGAGTACCGCAAGGTTCAGTATTAGGTCCCATTCTTTTTTTACTTTATCATTAGTGACATCACATATTCATTAGTGGCATCACTTATTTGAAAATTAAAGGGAAAATTTTTCTATTTGCTGATGATACCAGTATTACTTGGAGCAGCTCTGATATTTCAACGCTTCATTCAATTATAACCGCTGATTTACTTATAATCAAGGCTTGGTCAGACTCCAACTTACTTAGCTTTAACGTGGATAAGACTGTAGCATTATCTTATAAAGGAGTCATGCAACCCTTGCTTTTGAATGAGAGCCAAATCAATATCGTAAATTCCGTGAAATTTCTAGGTATTCTCATTGACAGTGATCTCAAATGGTCCTTGCATACTGCCTCCTTAAGGAAGAAACTAGCCTTAGCTTGCTTTGCAATAAGATCTGTTTCGAAGGAACTAAATTTATCTTCTGCCAAAATGGCATATTTCTCATTGTTTGAGTCCCATCTTCGATATGGGCTTCCATTTTGGGGTTCTAGTACAGCGGCCCAATTTGATACTATTTTTAAGTTGCAAAAAAGAGCAATCCGTTATCTATTTGGTCTCAAACAAACAACTCATTGCAAGACCTACTTCAAAAATCACGGAATTTTGACGCTTCCCTCTTTATTTATTTTGGAAACGGTTTGTTTGATTCGAAAGCATCTAAACATTTTTCCCGATAGACCTGACCATGGCTACTCCATTAGAAATTCGGATTGTAACGTTTATTTGCCGATCCCGTCCACTCAGCTAGTAAAGAATTATATTCTAAATCGTGCAAAGAAACTTTATAATCACCTTCCAAGAGAAATTAAATCCGCAACATCCTTCATTAAGTTTCGTAAGGTGACAAAAATCTATCTCTCAGAAAGACCATATTATTCAGTTGACGAGTTTCTTAATGTATAACAAAGAAACAAAATTAGTATTGTTTATAATTACATTTGGGTGTCTCAAGCAGTGGCTACAATTTGTCTCATTTGTTGTTGTCTGTACAAATTATGTAGGTTATACAATGATTTTACTAATTTAAAATTGTGTTATTCTGTATTTTACTATATTTGTTTTTGTTTTATACTTTTTGTACTATTTGACTGATTTATTTTTTAGCTTTGTCCATAAAATTGTTCAATAATTTTCAGTGACAATAAAGCATATTTCTATTCTATTCTATTCTATTCTAAATATGTTACAAGTAACACAATACCTATTACTTATTTCCGGGAAAAATATCATTGCTACTCACTTGGGGGTGCTCTCAAACTACAACAAGAATTGGTCTATGAACAAGAACAATCCCTCCCACACTGCAATATAGAAAAGGAGAATAGAAGAAGATGTACACGTTGTTATAAATCTTTTTCAGAACATCTTGAGAACATTCGTTCTTAGATGTGTATTGTGTGTTGCTGATATACTCATGGATTGTTTGAATAAATATCAGTTTTGTTTGAAGTGACCTTGGGGTAGATTGTTAGTGTAGCATGTGTATTTTATTTTCGAATATTATATAAAAATAAGCTAAGTTTAAGAAATAAAAATTATATATGCGTTTATAAATGTTTTAAGGATCTACTTATATATTAAAATAATAAATTTACTTTGTTGTTGTTAGTATTTGACCTAAATTGTTATTGCTCCCGTACAAGAACATTGTGCACTAAAGGTAAATTTTTACACTAAAAAAGTAAATATTTTATGGTTTGTTTTTTTTTCGAGTTGATAGACATATTTAATACATTATTGGTTTAAATAAATTAATTTGAATAAACTTGAAATAAGCTTTCTTTTCAGAAAAAAAAATGGATCAATTTGAGAGTATTAAAACAACATCGTTTGCAAACAATAAAGCAAAAACTATTTAGCACTATAAGTTACGACAGATTTCTGCTGCAAGTGAAGATTCGGAACTATCTGATGAAGGTAATGTTGCGCCGTTAGCTACACAAACCACCAGGGCTAGAGTTATCATTGACAGTCAGGACGTTCGAGTATGAAGCCATACAATCACAAAAAGCCTCACAAATTAAAATGCAAAATGTGGGTTCTCTTAGGAATATCAGGATTTTCATATAATTTTGAAATTTTTGCTGGAAAAGATGGTTAGACAGAATTACCGAATGAGGTAAATTTGGGAGGTGTTATTAATGTTGTAGTTCGATTAAGAAGAAAAATGCCGTTCCATAAACACTACAAACTCTTTTAGGATAGTTATTTTTCAGGTATACCACTAGTGTCATATTTGTCAAAACGAGGCATACATTTTATCGCAACAATCCGTACACATTTAGTTCTGAATTATAAAGGTTAGCAAAAGAAAAAAAATTAAAAGGGAGAAACATTTAATCACACTCTGGTACTTATGAGAATACTGCAATACATACAGTCCAGTGGTGTGACAACAAAATTGTGTCTTTACTATCAGATTATTGTTGAACTCAACCAACAACCAAAGTAGAAAGGTTCTTTCGCACCGAAAGAACAGGGAAAGAAATTGATTGCCCAGGCATTGTACAATATAACAGGCACATAGCACAGGCGGTGTATATCTGCAAGATTTCTTATTAAGATTATATCCAATCAAAATCAAAAGCAAAAAATGGTACTGCCGTATTTTCTATCATATGCTAGATATAGCAGTAGTCAATGCTTGGCTATTAGACAGGCGAATCAAAAAACAAATTGGATAAACTGAAGAGAATATACTGCTGAGAAACAACAGAGATAAAGATACTTCGACGAACATCAGGGGAAAGTCTGTTGAATAGGGAGAGAAGCGAAAGCATAAGAAAAGCACGCAATATAGAAGACATAAATGGAAGGGTAACAAAACGGAAACTGTACTTACAGACAAAAGACAAAGAAGAGATCAATGATCTTTGAGTTTATGTATTGTGCAGTCAATATTACATAATTCTAACTTTTAGGGTATCCTAAACAACCATTAAAATGGCATATTTGCTTAATCAGGGCATTCAAAGTGCTTTCAAGATTTGGAAAAACCTCATCATTTTCTTAGCTTTTTTATCAATTATACTGTGTGCTGTAAATTGTTATCTGTCTCAGCAAAGCGGCCACCACGAACCCCCAGAGTATCAGAAGTATGGCCACATGAGAGGTCGCACTAAGATATTCCCATGGGGCGAAGACAACAAATCTTTGTTCCATAATCCACACGTGAAGGCTTTACCCGATGGGTATGAACACTATTAGAAGTTTTCGTATAGAAAGTATATTATTTAAATAAAAGGTGTTTTTTTTTTCAATAAATGTAGTTAAACTAAATAAAACTCAAAGTAATGTGTCACTTTAGATAACAGCTTTTGATTTGTAAGCTGTCTCTTACCTGAGATATTTGTTAAACGGCGTTTACAACTACTTTGAAAGATACCCAGATGTTCTATTGTTGAGTATTTAAGGAGAAGATTTTCCAACCTTAAATTTGTATGTCCTAAGAGCTAAGAAGCCATTTTAGAATATAATTCGCAGTGTGAGATACAGTTTTTTGTGTGGGAGAGAATTTCAGTACAGATCCCACCCCCAGAAATTTTAGTAAGTCCAGTTTACAATCCCAGAAATTTTAGGGAACCTAGGTAACTTTTATGTTTGATTTCTAAAAGAAAAATAAACATTTTTAATTATAATTGCTTTCGTAACAATCTAAGAAATTGTAATAAATAAAATTGTAGATCTTAGGGTGTGGCTTAGCTGTCATTTTAATTGTTCTTAGTTTTAAGATTTAGTATTGACATATGACAGTTAGCACTATTTTTGACATTTGGTAAATACCTTATCACATTTGAGATGTTGCTTTTGTTTTTAAAAAAGGTTAACTTCTATGCATAGTTTCATTTAAAAAGATATTTTTTATTTGTAATAATTTATTTCTGCTACAAGTTTTGTATCTATCTATTACAAGATACAGTTTCTATGATGCATTCGCTTAAAAGTCTGTCTGAAAGAGCAGGATTAAAGATAAACTTTGAGAAAACTAAACTTATAACAAATCTCGTAATGAGTGGAAACATAACTATTGACAATAATACCATACAACAAACAGACACTTACAAATATCTGGGACACGAAAACAAAATAAGCAGAGATAATCAAACACATGAAATACAGAGGCGAATAGGCCTAACTTGGACAGCATTTGGCAAATTAAGCCATATTCTAAAAAGTTCAGTTCCCATGTGTCTCAAGGGAAAGGTTTATAACCAATGTGTTTTACCTGTACAAAGTTATGGAGCATAGACTTTAACACTCACGCAAAAATCTGCGAATAAACTCGAAGTTACACAACGAGCCATGGAACGTGCAATGCTGAACGTGAGCCTTCGAGACCACATAACAAACTAACAAATTAAGCAAAGATCAGGAGTTCAAGACACCATCGAAAGAACCACGTTGCTTAAGTGGAACTGGGCAGTGCACTTAGCCAGAGCACAAGATGGACGGTGGACAAGACGTATTATGGAATGGAGGCCCAGAAACTATAAAAGAAGCCGAGGACGACCACCGACTAGATGAACCGATGATATAAAACGTGAAGCAGGAAACTGGCTACAAGCGGCCCAGTGTAGAGAACGCTGGAAAGAACTGAGGGAGGCCTATGTCCAGCAGTGGACGCGATTGGCTGATTGATGAAAAAGTTTTGTAGTATAGTAGACCGGCCCACAGAGCTCGTCACACTAATACCTCTATAATTGGAGCAGTCTATTTTATTCTCTCTTTTATATATGGAGCTTATATAAAATTTATTCCAATCTTTAGGAATTTCCTGGTCTCCACACATAGAGTTATTAAAAAGGTCTACTATTAATTCTAAAAGTGCAGTCGGCCCATATTTAACCAGCTCTATGGGAATGTCTTCAGGCCCTGCGGCTTTTTCATTTTTAACCTCTTTTAAGGTTTCCGTCAATTCAAATAATGTTATTATAGGAATTTCCTGTCTTTCGTCTCTGTTATCTATTAATTTCCTTATCTTGTCTTATCTGCACTCTACTCTATCCTCTTTCAGCAGTTTCGTATAATATTCTTCCCTTTCATTTAACTAACAAATCTTAAATAACTGGAATAGTTGAAGGTCACTATTAGTATAAGTCACCTTATACATGTCACTAAATTAGACATATACTAAACAGGAACTTTTACATTATAAATTAGGTAAATTTATTTTATAAATTAAAAAAAAAACTTTATAAAGTCAATTTCCCTTAATTTGTTTTTAAAGACCATTAGCTCGAAAAATATGGAGATAAAAAGCTGAACAATTCTGTCTTTCACTCTATATACAAATTTTTTAACTACCCTTATTTACCTTACTTGTTTATTTTTGTCTGTACTATAAACTTTTTTGACTGTACTATAAAGTTTGAACGTTCCCAAGCGACAAACAAGCACGGAAACTAAGATGATGACTGACCCGACATCGCGCATCGCGTCGTCTTCACGATAACGTTCAGAAGAAGAGGCCTTACATTGACGTAGTGCCCCAAGGTAGCAATTCTTTGTGACCTGAATATTTCTCTTTTTCTCCTTCGGGTATTCGTCTCTACGCAACTTTGACAAATACGTCGTGATGACAAAAGACGACGCTCTGGGAATATCTTCTTTATGGAGGTAGTGCACTTTCATTACATACTTTTTTATTGCGATGCTTTTTGGACATGGAAAGAAAGATTGGATTAATCGATGTCACTGTTGGATTTAATGTCCTCTTATAGACATTTTTTTTTTCTTTTCTTTTAAGGTTTCTGGCTAACAAAAATATTATAAAAAGTTTAATATTTTTAGTGATTTTGGAGATTTTAGTCCAAGTACAAAATTCAAATACGCAAGAATTTATATTAGGTATATAATTTAGGTGAGTGTCGCCCTGTCTCATACCTCGCTTGATATTAATTTCTCTGGTGGTACCGTGTAGTTTTGCACGCATTGTGGCGTTTGGTATAATGTTTGTACTAACTTTGTAGGTTGGTAATCTATTCTACTATTGTTCAGAGCAGGTATAATTGCTGTCTAATTCCACAGTGTCAAAGGCTTTGTGAAAGTCTACGAAGATAAGTACCAGTGGTCTCTTATAGATTTAGTACTCGTAAAAAAGCTATTTCATTTGCCCCACGTCCAGACTTTAATTTATCCCATATCGTGGAAGCAGTAACAGACATCTGAAATGTCTGAAATCGTATAATTGTATTTCCATAAATTGAACTTATCAAAACAGGCTTTGGAAGATATTTCTGTAAATCAAGTGTCAATAACTTTATTGTTGCACCACTTATTGCTGCTCTTTCCTTTTCAACTATTTTTAATTCATACCTGTTACTAGCCTTCAGAAGATGTTGCTGATAATTTTGGTCAATATTTTTCATTTTTGCTACCATTTAAATTTAAGCCAAATTTTATCTGTCATATTTATCACACGTTATTATATGGAATTTTGAATGAAAGATTAAATTATGTGTGATAAACTTAGAAATACAGCCAAGGTATACCAAAGGTTTTTTTTTCGGGTGCATTTCATTTCATTAACACAGCATAAACAGACTGAAATGGAGTTAATACAGTTTAGCCTTAAGGTAAAGATATAGGTTATCTATTTGAATAAATATACAGTGCGTCCTCAAAGTAATGCATAAATTTATTATTAGCTAAATAAACAACAATAATAAAATTTCCCAAAACGGGTAGATTTTTTATTTTAATTTACTATTTTTTTTTTAAAATAACTCCCCCTTTATTTAATCTATAGTTTTTTCTTGCTTAGCTGACTTTAAAAACGTATAAACACTTGCTTCAAACTGATACAGTACAAAAACAAAATTTCAAGTTACCTACAAAAAAATCAAGTGAACGATTAACTGTAACACATTACCAAAAATAAACAAACAAAAATTTCCAGTGTGTCTTGTCTAATTCGGTGTTATAGTTAATATATATTATAAGGTCAAATCAAGTGATCTAGGAGACCATTTCACTGGTCCTTTTTTTTCCTATCCACCGTTGTGGAAAAATTCTGTTTAAAAAATTGCGCACAGTTACTGCAAAATGTTTTGAAGCACATCTTGTTGAATCCAGATTCTGCAGTCTAAATTAATGCGTATTTGAATATCAGGAAAAAATGCATCAGATCAGAAATTACTGTATTTTGTAGAAAATCCAAACGTAATATTCCTGTTAAATTTTCTTGTTTTTTGTCTTTGCGTATGGGACACTGGCATCCAGTGTGAATTTTCATTAGACCAATAACGAGTGTTTTGTCTATTAACATGACCGTTCAAATAAAATGTTACCTCGTCAAAAAATAAAACGTTATTAATAAAATTGTTAGGTTAGCTAGCTTTGGTCAAAGTAGTCTTACGCCAATTGATGGATAAGAAGTACTTTAAAATATGGTATTTTACCTTTTTGAAAACTTTAGATACTGAAGACTTTCCAGCACCAAAATCTGATATCTGGTTCAATATTTTTATTTATTTTTGGACTACCTTGGTTTGCTGCATACTTCACATGGCCTAATTCTTTGTATAAGCAAAATATTGGGGAGAGAGAGGTAAGTGAGATAAAGCTAGCCGAGAAATTGGTTTGAATTGGCCAGTGGTACGAAGAGTGAAAAGTAACAGATAATATGACGGAGTAGACGAAGTCACTAATCCCAAACCTTTGAACCTGAGTGAACTGTGAGCATAGGCAGCTGAATTATCACCTGATAAAAATACTGACAGGCCATGGTTGCTTTTCAGTCCAATCAGTGTCAAAATTCTGAAACAAGCGACTAGCACTTTGGTGGGATTTGGACTTCTTCTTCAAGTTCCACTTTTATCGGAGATTGGAAATCATTCTCGCAATTATAATTTTATTGGTTACTCGCCTAAATAGTTTAATTGAACTGCATAGAAACTATTCACGGAGATTGCGTAGCCACGAGATTTTACGTCTTCTTACGCTTCTTCTACTTTTGATTTTACCCTGCATTATATTCCTTAGTAGTTCGTACTTTTCACCTCTCATGATGTACCCCAAGTATTCCAATTTCCTGATTTTTATGGAATTTAAAACTTCGCATTGTTTTCCTAGTTGTTCAAGAACTTGTTCGTTTGTTTTGCGATCCATTCATGATATTTTCAAAATACGTCGGTATCACCACATTTCGAATGCTTCTAGGTTTTTAATGTTGGATTTTTTAAGTGTCCAAGCTTCAACTCCATACA